TTATTTTTAATTGTCATTTACTCCAATCTTTTCTAGTGAATAAGTAGAAAGGTGGTCCCTAGGAACTTTGAAGGAAAGGGTCCAACATTGCCTAACCTTCCCCCAATATTTTTCAATGTTTATGCAAAATCTGATCTATAAGGCTGCTTCAAAATCTTACAAAGCATCAATCATGAACCCAAGTCGAATCAAATGACCAAGAAATATACCTCTTCTTTTTCTTTCATTTTTTTTCTCTCTTTTTTCAAGATTTTGGTTTTGACTTTTGAGCCTAAAATATGATTGTATTTCGAATTGATGTGAAATGTTGTAATTGTAGTTTTTTAAAGATTTTATTATGAAAGAAATTGTTATTGTTTGATAATTTTTTTTAAAAAAATTATATATTAATATGACTATTAAATTTATAAATTGTTAATTAAAATTAATTTAATTATAGTAAATTAATATTTTCATTAAGTATTATATGAAACAATACTGCAAGAAAGTAACTTGAATCGCAATTCGTAAATTAGGAAAATTATTTTTCATAAATTGAGCTTTATCTTTCATTTCAGTTCTGATTCTGAAAGAAGTCTATTAAACTGGGTTTTGTCCACCAAGAACGACTCGGGTTCCTGAAGTCAGTTTAGTAGAACTTCACATATCATTTTGGGAGGGGACACACAGAACCCGAAACCAGGCCCAATTTCTATCCACTAAACCCAGGCCCAGTAGATAAAGAGTGGGCCTCTTTCAAAAATTGGAATACTTAGTGCAGAATGGGCTCTTTGTGAATGAACTTGTCTATTGTAAACCAAACCCCCCAGCCACCCCCTCCCGCCCAAAATATGTGATTGTCAATTTGTCATTTATCAATTATGCAATAGAATACAAAACTCCCAACTTGCCTGTCGTCTCTCTCTATTTTACCATTCGTATTTGAAATCTTTTTTTCTCTTAGGTTACATTTAATAATGAATTATAAAATAAACTATATTCTTTTTTTTTTTTTTCAAATCTCCTTAGACTAATTAAAATTTAGGATAAATCTTTAAATTCACCCTTAAAAAAAGAAGATAGGGATAGATTTACTTATAAAAAAATATATGGATAAATTATTTCTTTAAATTATCATCAAAATAAACCATTCATTATTTAATATATGATTTCATTACATGTCAACTTTCTATTAAAGACATGCTTAGGTGACAACCAGATTTTTTATGTGTGATGACATCACATGTCAATAATAAATACTTTATTAACAATTTAAAAAGAAAATTTATCTCTACTTTTTTTAAGGAACAATTTTGTCCCTACCCCTTATTTTAAGGGTAAATTTGGAGGTTCAGCTCAAAATTTAAATAAGGAATCTCATAAATCTTATATTTGTTGTAAATTGAGGTAAAAACAAGAAAAGGGGAAAACAAGTTTTTGAGTTGAGAGTGGAGAAGGAATGGTCATATATTGACCAGAGGCCCCTTTCAATTTTTATGCAGCAAAGAGAAGCTGCAATTGCAAGGGGAGACCGAGTGACACTCCAAGCAAACAAACAAGCCAGGACCATGACTCGTTCACATACATTCACTGGATGAGATAAAATTATTCTGCTTCTGCCACCTGTCACTGCCTAAGATAAGACTACCGTCCAAAATTTTCTCCTCCTGTGGACATCATGATGTAATGTCATCACCCCTTCAGTCCAACGGCCATTCCTCACTCAAAATCAACCTCATTCTTTTGTAACCATTGGACCCCCATTACCCCAAACTTCACCATTATAAATAGGATGTCACTAGATCAAAGTTCACAATCAAGGTAGTAGTAAATCTTATCATAGCAGAAAGGGAAAGAGAGAAATGGCTCCTTCAGTGCTCTCCTCTGCCATTGTCACGCCCTTTAAGGCTCAGGCCAACATGGTGGCTCCGTTCACCGGCCTGAAGTCCAACACTGCCTTCCCGGTCATCCGGAAGAGCAAAAATGACATTTCTTCTCTCCCAAGCAATGGGTGCAGGGTTAGATGCATGCAGGTATGGCCAATTGAGAAGATCAAAATCACTATTATTAACATTTTTAGGTGTTTGTTTAAATTACAAAGTGAATTCTCTTCTTTTGAAGGATTTTAGGTGTGGCCACCAATTGGGAAGAAGAAGTTCGAGACACTCTCGTACCTTCCTCCACTATCCCCAGAGTCCTTGGCTAAGGAAGTTGATTACCTACTCCGGCAGAGATGGGTTCCTTGTTTGGAGTTCGAGTTGCTGCTAATTTTTGCGCTTTGTTATACTTGAGTTCTCAGGTTCTATGATGTCTAATCCTACTGATTTTGTTTGCTTTTCTTGATATTTAGCGCGCATTCGTCTACCACGAGAACCACAGGTCCCCTGGATACTATGATGGCCGCTATTGGACCATGTGGAAACTTCCCATGTTTGGATGCACCGACTCTTCTCAGGTGTTGAAGGAGCTTGAGGAAGCCAAGAAGGCTTACCCCAACTCATTCATCAGAATTATTGGATTCGACAATGTTCGCCAAGTGCAGTGCATCAGTTTCATTGCCTACAAGCCCCCAGGCTTCTAAACTTAGGGATTAATGCATGTACACCCCATGTAGGGGGTCGGCTTGTGTTATACTTATTCGTTGAAAATCACACTTTGTTTTTTCATTTTTGGATATTTCGCTCTTTTCAATTTCTGGGTTTCGGATTTCCTATGGAAATGGATGTAAGAACTAATGAAGAAAGAGTAGTTTCTTCCTTTCCCCATAAGTGAAAACTTAGCAGCCGAATATTCTTAATTTAGTTGCTTCTGTTATGGTTTTTTATTCAAGTACCATAAAAAAATATCATGGTACGCACTTGACTCCTAGAGATTTTCTAGTATTCGGAATATGAACAGCATTTTGAAAATTAAAAAGCAAAATGCAACGAGCAAAATAGTCTTGAAAGTTGAAACTCTTCAAGGAAGGCACATAAAGCTAATTGATCCGTCCTGCTAAGTTAGGACTTAGGACATTATCACTTCTAAGTAAATTTGCGAGGAAACAAGTAGCTAGTCATGTTCTTCTTCTAAAGGAGACGGGAGATTTGAACTTAATTCTCAAGTCATTTTATTAATAGACCCGAATTTAATCTTGCAATTATGTTTTTTAGTTCTAATACTACTCAAAACTACAACTAGCAATTTTTTTTAGTTATAAATCTTGAAAGGGTAAGCTAAAGTTAGTTCAATTCACAAGTTCCAAATCTAGTGGTTAACTGTTTTCCCTATTTTTCACAAGGTTTGTACCCATCATTTTGTGTATGATGATTAAAAGCTACATTTGCGGATGTGCCTCAAAAAAGATAGAGCTGCAAACAAGAATCGTCTTTCTTTTACTTTCAGCAAGTGGATATATAATATAAACAGCTTAATTCAATTATTAGTCTATTAAATTTCAGTTTAATTTCATTTTAACCTAAAAAGTTTATTTTCTTTTCAAATTGTTTATAAACTCTAGAGAATATTTCAAAATAAACTACTGTACAAAATTTCTGTTAAATTTAACGAAAAAGAGTAGTTCTTTAAATTTTAAAAAAATGACACTATAAACCTAATAAAATATGATACTCAAGAAATATTTTATAAAAATACATTAGTTAGAATTTGTAATAAACTTGAGCAACTAACTCAATTCAAACAAAGAAATTTAATAAATTTAAAACGAGAAGTTTTAAGAGTAAGTTTGTTTTATAGAGTAGATTATATGCAGTTTAATTTGTAAAATTATTTAAATGTCCTTGAAAAAATAATATAAAAATAAAATTAAAGGCATTTAAATAATTTTACAAGATAAACTGCATACAGTTTACCTTGTAAAACAATTTTTTGAATAACACATTTAACAAGATAAGAATAAAAACTATTCTTACGATGAATATAAATTCAAAGACTAAAAGATAAGAAAAATATAGTTAGAGAACTAAATATTTTTTTTATAAAATAAGAAATTAAGAAGATTTTCGTTAAAAATAATAAACTATATGAAATTGAAATAAATGTGAAGAATAATAAATTAGAATCAAAAAATTCAAAGATAATAGATAAAACTAAAAAAAATATAAATATTAATAAATGATTTGTTAAATTAAACCTAATATAAACTGTAAATTCTACTTACCTCTTACTGTCAAAGAAGCCCCAATCATTGGATCCACTCGATGAACAATGAAGATATTGATGAGAATCGACGACGCACTTTTTCTAGTCTTTTTCATGCTGCAACAGAAGCCAATCAAAATTCACAAACTGGGATTTCTACGGATAAAATAAGGCATCTGAGACTTAATCACCAAATCAAGTAAATAATGAATGAATAAAAACATTGAAAAAAAAGTTTGTATCTATACAATTAACATAAATTCATCCTCCAAGAGCATTTGGATTCGGTAAGCATAAATCAAATCTGTGAAAACATGACCTAGTTCGAATAAGTCACCATCATAATTAACCTTGATGTATGGTTGTTCTTATTTCCTTTTTCTTTTTGGCCATTCTGGTTATTCTTTTGTCTTATCTAATCCTTTTCTTTATGATTGAGGACCTACAAATTAACCAGTACCTCATTGAATAATTTGCATTTTCGAAAAAAATTTCCATACAAATTAATTTGCATCTAGAGTAAAACAATAATCTTTCTACATAAGTCTAATTATATAAATGAAAATAGATATTTAGGCTTGCACATTTTTTTCTGATGAAATTTACTACCGCAGTTTAAGTGAACAACTTAACTATAAGTACACTTAAAAGGGGGAAAACCAAAAATAATTAAGAAGCTAATTTCAATAGTCCAAAAATGAACCAGCCATATCTAAATCTATGATTTGAAGCTCAATTACTCAACATATCTCTAAATTTATGTAAGCCAAATGAATAGGGCAGATTTAATTTGTTAATCATTAAAGTCGTTGTAATTAAGTCCTACGAAAAAACAACAGTATAATTCAATAAACCTAAAATGGAATTACACAATTTGGTCATGAAGGCAGTCATTAAATTGCAATATAAAAGGTAAGCTGGCAGAAGATGAAACTTGAAAAAACCTATATCTCAGTTTTTCTAAGAAGCTTATTAGCCATGCCAAGAACAAACTTAATTTGTTGAGATCGGACAACAAAATAGTAGCTTAACCTAGACCTAATGCAACATTGATAGCCTATAATACATTGTTTTGTACCCTCACCATAATAACAAAGACATTTTCTTAGTACTATATATAACTTTGACGCGTGTAATTAAGCATAGGATTCTGTTTAATTCACTCACGATTTTCATATCTCGTGATATAACCCTAGGAAAACTCGATGTTATCTCAATATATATCGTGCCCACAAGTGAGGTCAATAAATCATCCAAATCTAATGATGCATCCAATAATCTTGGCATTGCTTTCATCATCACAATCGATCTTAATTAAGGAGCTCCCATCATGTTTAAGTACAGTACAGTACTAATATTCTTAATTATAACCACTGCAGCCAACTAAGGATTTATATTACAAACTATTTTTCTTTGCGTATTTTTATTTTTTTAAAATTTTTGAGAGGAGGGCAGGTATGTGCTTCAAAATATTAACATGACTACAATCAAATATGTTCAGTTATATAATTTAATTTTTTTGTTTCTTAGCTTCTTTTGAGTTTTTATGATTTCTTGGATCAAACAATGGATGTCTTAGATATCACTATCTCCCAACGTTCTAAGGCTACCCTAGGCTCTATCAGCCAATATTCTCAAACACAGTTTGGTCAGGCTAATTAGGGGTTAGTGTGTGAGGAACAAATGCTTTGTTGAAGCACATTCTGCATTTGCAAAAATGACATTATAATGAATGGAAATCTTTGTACTGAATTTTATTGTTAATTAGCATAAAAATCTGCTAACTATTTAATCAAAAACTAGAAAAGATTTTTAAGTGACCTTACAGTCTCATTTTGCCAAGAAAAATCTAGTCTCATGTTGAAGGGTTTAAAAGTCATCCAGATTGAAGAAATGATGATGCGCTAAAAACATAAATTAACCAAAAGCATAAAAATGACTCACTATCATGCACATATATAAGAAAACAGTTGTTTACGGTACCTGCATTTCACACCTCCAACACAGTCTTCTTTCCTAGATCTATCTACCTCTCACACTGTTATTCATTTCACTTACCAAACATAGACTACTCTCTCCCACACACAGAAAATACAAACATAGATAGACACAAGCAAACACTCATGGAACAGACATATAATTAACTACTTAAAGGCTGTTCATACACATTTCATCAAGGCTTTGGGATTTCTTTGATTTTTCTCAACTGCCAGATATCGTCAAATCCCCAAGGATCATTATCATCATCAGAATCCTCTAGGTTCCCAAGCCCACTTACACCAGTCATTGTCTCCCAGTGTGGATAGCACCCCACTCCAGACCCCTTGCCCAACCACATCCATTCTTCCTCGTAAGTCCATGTCCACGGCCAATCCTCCAACCTACCCAACCCACCCAACCCATCACCACTTCCAGGCCCTTCTAAAGGTTTTGCCTCAGTCTTCTCCTCCCCCTTGATCTCCTCCTTAGCCTCATCATCTTTCTTCTCGTTATCATCCAGTACTATTACGTCCTTTTTCTCATCGTCCAGCACTATCACATGTTTTTTCCGCTCATCCAGTACCATCATGCAGTCAGCATTCGTCGACATCGACCTTGTTACGATCGTTCTCTCATTGGGAATGACACAACGAGGCCTCCTCACTCCATAACGACGTTTCGTCGGGAATGACTCTTTACGAACAGGACTCATATTTTGTGAGGGGTTCAGACCAGCTTCGATTTGAAATCTTGTTGGCACTCTTGACCCAGTGCTCCTTGGTTCCACCGAACATCCCCTCCCTCGCTTCCCTTGATACATAGGACTCATTTTCGGACTCTTCATCGAAACAGAGAGATAGGAAAAGCAGATAAAGAGAAGAGAAAATGGAGACTGAAGAGGGTGTGTCTGGCTGTGTCCAAGTGCATCCCTCTAAATACTACTAAGATGCACGTGCCTATTAACACCAGTGTAGCAAAAAATAGTCAGTTTGAGTTACTAGGTTTCCATTTTCTCGAGAAAACCCCAGCAATGCAGAAGGCAAAAGAAGGAATATCAAAATCCCGAAGGGGGCCACGAGAAATCTGGGAGGAGAGCTCGATATTTATGAGAATATCAGAAGAGGGAAAAAGGCAGCAGTGCTATGTGCGTTACTGCCTTTCTGGCTGTGTAAAGCAGAGTACGTGTCAAAAGGACATTCAAAGTGTGGGACCCGAAACCGACAGTGAGACTCAGTTTGAATTTTCCTCTGTTTTGGAAGTTTCTGCGTTTTAGTTTTGTGGTTTTTATCAGCATGCATGCCACGTATGCAGTGCCAGATGTGCATGGCTTTTGTCACCCCGCCTTCTCTGCGTGCGTTTTCTTCGTTTGCATTGACGGCAACGGGAGAACCGGCAGCCCCAAACCGAAATTTTTCATCCCTATTTTTCACTCATATCACCACCTTCTTTAAAGTTTAATTCTAACCTAAGAAGAGTAAGAACCTAAGAAATTATTATTTTCTATTTGAATAATAATAAATATGATGAAAATTTAGAATTAAAATTTAAAATTAATAACGTGACATAAATCATATCATTTAAAATATTAAAAAATAAATTTTATATTATTTAATAATTAATTTTTTAAAATATATAATATTATATATAGTAATTAATTTAATAATATAACACATTATTAATCTCAAATTTTCATCCCCTATCATTACTGTTTTTATTTAATCAAATTATAGTTTTTAGAAAAGAGTTTTTAGAACTAATTTTTCAATGAAATTAATTTCTAAGATCTAAGAAGTTAAAATTACAAATTTAAGAGGTGTTTATTTTAACTTTTAAAAAATAATTATCACATGTTAATCTTAATTAAATAAGTTAAGTATTTTAAATTATAAAAAATAAAAATTATTAATTATTGATTATTAATTATATTAAAAAACTAAATCAAACAGTCTCTAAAACTTTTTATTTTGAGATTTTAGTAAATTATATTATTATTATTTTTATAGTCATCTTATGTATTTCACAATTCAACAATTTTACAAAAGTTTCCGGTTAACCAGCTATACACGCATGTTTAACTTTAACGCACTTTCTGTTTCTTAAAAACCAAAAATTTTCTTAGCACAGTCACAAATAATATATATTTAAATATCAATTATATACTCAGATAAGAAGCAATTGCATATATCTGCGACCAGTATAATTTGATAGGCTCATCGACAGCTTGACAAGGAGGATCCTCTAGCTAGCTT